TAAATATATATATTTATATATATTTCTACATATGTACATATGTCTCGTTGTTCATATCTGTCTCCTTATCTCTCTCTCTCTCTCTCTATATATATATATATGTGTGTGTGTGTGTGTGTGTGTGTGTGTGTGTGTGTGTTTTTTTACATATGCTGGTTAGGCTAAGAACATTCTATCACTTCCTCTTACTTAGCTTTGTCTATATTGATATCGTTTTCTATCTGTAATGATCCAATAATCTACCTCAATTTCTTCCCTTTCACACACACACACGTACGTATATATATATATATATATATATATATATATATATATATATATATATATATATGTAATTATATGTGCGCACTTTGAAAAATCCTTCTTTAATTTCCCCACGACAAAATGCCAAGTCTCAAAATAAACAACCACTAACAATTATTATAGGATTCGAACAATCGATCCTTCCCTGGAGAAGCATTCTGTCAAGAGAACCCCACTCCTACCTGTCACCGCCTGAAGCCATCACCTGATGTTCTGCCAACAAACGGCTGGCATCGACGATATTTTAAAGTTATGCAATGATGCACGCCACACTCTTTTTGCGTTTTTGGCAACAGGCGAAGCGCTTCTCGGCGAAGTCAGATTCTGGCACATTACTCATCTTTGAGCAAGATTTTGTAGCGCAGAGTTTCCACAAAGTCAGTGAAGATAAGATTTTAAGGTAATTTTTTTCTTTTCTTAAGATCACCATGTTAAGAAAAAAATTGGGATTTGTTATTATTAAAATGTGAGTTTATGGCATATCGACTCCTATATAATGATCATGTAGCACCAAACAAGGATTTTCATGGAGATTCCCATAGTCTTCAGTGCCATCTCCGAGGTCCTGTTTCTGAATGTAGTTTTATGGCACATCGATTCGTATATGTTAAGGGGTCCACCCGTTTTTTTTATACAAGTGGACTCACCCAGTGTGTACTTGTATTGCTACCGGTGAATACCCGGGAGTGAGACAGTGAGTCAGTGTGACAGTGGGAGTGAGAGTGTGAGGTAAGCGCTTTGTAGGAGTCACAGTTGCGAGCACGTAGACTCAAAAGGAAGTCGTACTTCGATACTGAATTTCCCAGACTGTATATATATATATATATTATTATTGCTGGGCACCTCAGAGTGGTGTAATGGTTAGCAAGTTTGTCTCGCTAGAACAATTACGACTGAGTAATGAGTTTGATCCTCACTGGGTGCCCTATACTTTCGGCCTTGTGCCTCATCAAAGCTACGCTTAGAAAATCATTTTGAGCACCTTGAGATGGGCTAATGGTTAGCAAGCTTGTCTCTCTAGATCAATTACGGCAGAGTAGTGAGTTTGATTCTCACTGGGTGCCCCATACTTTCGGCCTTCTGCCACATCTAATCTAGCTTAGAAAATCATTTTGGGTAACTTGAGATGGTGTAATGGTTAGCAAGTTTGTCTCGCTAGAACAATTACGACTGAGTAGTGAGTTCGATCCTCACTGGGTGCCCCATACTTTCGGCCTTGTGCCACATCTGAGCTACGCTTGGAAAATCACTATATATTATTATTGCTACTAACCGCATTTCTGGATCTACTAACCGTATTACCAATTGTATTATTACATCAATACATTTATTTGTTATATTTCATTCCTGCGTTTGTCATTCATTTTGAGACCGGATTTCATCCCGGAAGCCACAACAAATTGATGACGAGCGATTTGAACTCATACGGGAAGAACAAACAGCAAAAAAATTTCCCTCGTCGTCCACAACAAATTGGTGACAAAGATTCGAACTCACACAAGAAGAAGAAATAGAAAAATCCTCCCCTCGTCGACAACACTATATAATGCTCATTAAGTGTTAAATAAGTATTTTAATGTAGATTCTCATAGACTAGGTTCTCTTCTGAATGTGCTTTTATGGCACAATACGAATTGAGGAATCGGAGAGCCGAGTTCGAATTCCAGTCGAATCCATTACATTCACTTAAGTACTAATACCCTTGGAAAAGGTATAAATCCTCTTCTTGTCCCCTCAGCTATGGGTAAATAGCAGAACAGACCGGGTTCTATAGCCTTGGATGGCAATTGAGCTATCGCAGAAAGAAATGGCAACCTACTGCAGGAAAAAAAATCTGTCGCATTATCTATCGAAAGATACATGATCGCCTACGCATATATCGTTAATCATTTCTAAGGTAAAACGGTTGAAAGCTTAATCTAACAATCTGGACAGATGTAGCCATAAATGCTATGCTAACAATTTCTTTTCTCGCACTTCTCGCTTGTGGAACTCCTTTCCGGCTCCAAGCTTCCCAAAAAGTTTAAATGCAATGTCAATCGCTATCTACTGTCCTCCTGCTTACTCTTTCCTCTTCCCGATCATTAGCAATGTTTCTGTTCCTAATTCTTCCTCACCCAGTAACCCCTTGTGTCTTAGTGGCTTTACTGCCTTTCATGGGGTGAAATCGATTAAAAAATGAGGGCTCAATGAATTTGTTCCCAAGCGGTCGCTCATCTAGGTAATGAACAGGCTCGACGTTGCTTAACTTCGATGATCGGACGAGAACCGGTGTATCAACGTGATATGGTCGTAAGACATACCACACACACATCCAAGCTTACAGCCCCTGGAGTTCCTATCGGTCACCCATCTAGGTATTGACCAAATTCGACGTTGCTTAACTTCGGTGATCATAGGAGAACCGGTGTATCAACGCAATATGGCTGTAAATCATACCACACTCTATCCAAGCTTACAGCTCCTGGTGTTCCCATGCGGTTACTCATCTAGGTACTGACCAGGCTCGACGTTGCTTAACTTCGGTGATTGAACGAGAGCCGGTGCATCAACGTGATATGGCCGTGAGTCATACCACACATGCATCCAAACTAACAACCCCTGGCGTTCTGAAGCGGTCACCCATCTATGTACTGACCAGACTCGACGTTGCTTAACTTCGGTGATCGTGGGATAACCGGTGTATCAACGCAATATGGTTGTAAATCATACCATATCCTATCCATGCTTACAGCCCCTGGTGTTCCCATGCGGTCACTCATCTAAGTATTGACCAGGCTCGAATTTGCTTAACTTTGGTGATTGTACGCGAGCCGGTGTATCAACGTAATGTAGCCGTAAGTTCTATTCTAAGAGTTTCTTCTCTCACACTTCTCACCTATAGAGCTTTGTTTAAGCTTCTTGCTTTCCTGTCAACTTTTTATGTACCGTGTCCCTTCAGGACGTAGGCGATCACGGCTCTCCACTTCCCCCTATCCATTGTAGCTCTCAATAAGTTTTGTCTATTTTCCACCTCCCCCTGACCACCTTCTGTCATCCACTTGCTTAAGCCCGCTAGGTATGTTATACGTTGCCTTCCCTTGTCTCTCTTTCCCTCTGTTCGACCTGTGAGTATCAGATACTCCAAGCCCTCCTTTCTCATTACGTGTCCCAGAAATTTCAGCTGATGTTAAGTATAAGCTTTCCCCGTGTTTGTATCCTCTCCAAGACCTCATTGTTGCTCATACGCTCGGTCCATGATATCCTTAGCATCCTTCTGTAGAACCATACCTCCGTCTCTTCTTCATCTTTGAGGAGACCGCCCAACATTCGCTGCCGTAAAGGAGGACTGATGTCACGTAGCAGCTCAGTACTCTTTTCTTTGCCACCAAAGAAATCTTTCTGCCTAGCTTTTGGAATGCGTCTTTGACCATCTCAATATGTTCGGTCCATGACATCCTTAGCATCCTTCTGTAGAACCATAGCTCCGTTCCCTCGAGACACTTCTTCATCTTTGAGGAGACCGTCCAACATTCGCTGCCGTAAAGGAGGATAGATGTCACATAGCAGCTCAGTACTCTTTTCTTTGTTACCAAAGAAATCCTCCTGTCTAGTAATACTCTGTCTAGCTTTTGGAATTCACCTATGACCATCCAATTGTTAGATATTTTATGACGGTCGTCTTCGAGTATAGAATCCAGAGGTTAGCAGTGAATATTTCGGAGACAGTAGGAAAGCGTTGTTCAGGTTAGCAGTGGATATCGCAGCAAAGTAGCAGAGTGGAGTACTTTCTTCTGTCATCTTCGCCTGACAAGTTGGCACTGGTCATTCCCGTAGGATAAACAAAAATGGCCGCCTTTATACACGACGGATAGAATGTTCTGCGTCTTCTGATTGGTTAACCTTCTATTGGTAGACTATAAAGCGAGTCAAGGACCAACTCACTAGTTATATATATATATATATATATATATATATATATACGTACATATACACAAAAAACTGTAACACCAATATGTTCGGTTTGTGAGATCCTTAGCATCCTTCTGTAGAACTATTGTAACTTAGGGAAGGTTACTGAATAGAATAATCACACGAAGGTTGGTAATGAACGATAATACTTAGGACAAAAACAACACATATAAGATTCGACAATGGCGCGTAGAAGTAGTAGTCAGCTGATAGAAGTGAGTCAAGTGAATTTCATAATGAATCTCCAACTCTAGACCAACATACAGTATTCATTACTGTATTTGTGTGAATGGGGACACATCCATTATCGTCCATAGGTATGCTACAACTAGAACCACATCTCCGTTGCCTCAAGTCTCTTCTTCATCTTTGAGGAGACCGTCCAACATTCGCTGCCGTAAAGAAAGACAGATATCACGTAGCAGCTCAGGACTCTTTGATTTGTTACCAAAGAAATCCTTCTGTCTTCTCTAGCTTTTGGAATGCGTCTTTGGCCATTCCAATACTTCTTCGGATCTCAGTGTCGCACTTACCGACCTCCGCACCATAATTCGTCATTTTTCTCTCAACTTGAATTCTCTTCTTTACATTGTCTAGACCTCATCGTTAACTTTTTCTCAGTTTCCTTCACCCGTTTTTCTTTTTAAATCCTATTTTCTTTTTAAGCCACTTGTTCCAGGAATTAGATATTTAACTCTGGTAATGATAACCAGAGAAATCTGTCAAAAAATCACTTTAAAGTGTGTGTGTGAGTCTCTAGTTTAAAATACTTTGGAGAACTCCGGTCTATAGAAAGATTCATAAACTGTTTGGACAAAGGAATCAACACAGCATGATTACACGACAGAGATCCTTCCCTGCCCCCTCATTAGAATGTCTGACGCTCAACTTCTCGAGAGCACCTCTCTGCGGCTGCTGAGTTGACTGCTGACCTGAGATGGAACAAATACATTCAGTCAATTGCTTCGTCCACCGCAAGGGAAGTTGGCTCCCTGTGCCACGCCAGGAAAATTTTCTCCCCGGAATCGATCCTTCAGATCTACAAATCAACAATTCGCCCTTGCATGGAGTATTGCTGCCATATATGGTCTGGAGTCCTTTCTGTCTGCCTCGGGGTTCTTGATAAGCTCCAGAGGCGGATATGCAATATAATTGGCCCTGTTCTGGCATCTCGTCTACAGTCACTTTCTCACAGACGTGCCGTCGCCTCTCTCTGTCTTTTTTTACAAATACTTTCATGGTAATTGCTTCGATGAGCTACTTTCACTGGTTCCCAGACTTCATGAGTTCAAGCGCCCGACGAGGCTGGCATCCCGCTCTCACCTTTTCACTGTCGAAACTCCTAAATGTAGCCGACTCTTCTACTCCAATAGCTTCATGTCTCGCACCTCTCGCCTGTGGAACTACCTTCCCTATTCCAGATTCCCTGTGAGCTATAATCTCCAACTATTCAAATGTAATGTCAATCGACATCTCCAGTTGCCTTGATCTATCCACTACCCTTCTCCTCATCCTTTCTTCTATCACTCCTATCTGATCTTGCTCCAAATGTTCTGTAACCCGTTGCGTCCTAGTGGCTTCCCGCCTTGCTTGGGGTGAAACGCTTAAAAATATGAAATCTTTGGGCCGAGTATAATGATTCTATCTCAGTATGTTCATATCTATCTATCTATCTATCTATCTATCTCTCTATCTATCTATCTATCTATCTATCTATCTATCTATCTCATTCTGCTCATATCTAAGTCGTTTTATATACCTCGACTGGGTCTTTACAAACTATTTACACTAGAGACAAATATCCTAAAATGTTTTTTGACATAATTCTCAGGTTTTGTTAGAAGAATCAAATATCTAATTCCAATAATAGTAATAATAATAATAGTAATAGTGTCATGGGTCCTTACTACAGAATGAACTCTTCCGAATGCTATATATACTACGCCTCTGAAGAGAGACGATCGAATTTGGTATTGAGACGGTAATGAATCGAGCCGAGCTTGACGGTCGAACTCTCTGCCTCTGAGCAGAGAGGAACCCGGACGAGGCTCCGCCGAAGGGCAGAGTCTCGTTCGGGGAGGTTGACCAACCCGATTCTGTTTTTACAGTTTCTACGGGCATTTTTTGGCTGAGCCTATGGGCTCGGGAAACTCGGCCTTGTTCCACATGCAACCCTCGTGGAGGGGTGGCTAGATACCAAATTTGGTATTGGGACGGTATTGAATCGAGTCGAGCTGATAGCAGTCACGCCAAACCAGTCGGACAGTCTTACTAACCTTTTCACTTCTTGTATTATTTATTGTGTAATATATTCTTTGTTATTTCTACTGCAGTGTTTCGTGTTGTTCTTCCATGCTCCTAACCTTGGACCATAACAAATAGTAATAATAATAATAATAATAGTAATACGAACCGTACTTATTCCTTTCTGGAAACAAACAGCATTCTCCCGCTGGAACAGAAGGGATGCAGAAGAGGTTCATATTGCTGCAAAGATCAACTTCTGATAAATAAAATGATCCTGGAAAATTGCAGGAGACGACGCAGGAACCTAAGTGCAGCGTGGATTGATTATCGTAAAGCCTTTGATAGTGTTCCACATTCTTGGATCCTTAAGACTTTGGAAATGTACAAAGTCTCCCCTGTGGTATTAAATTTCCTTAAGCACAGCATGGGAATGTGGAACATCAAACTATACTTTAGTCACACCGGGGGCACTGCCATATCCAACCGTCTGAATATCCGACGTGGAATCTTTCAAGGAGACTCTCTGTCACCCCTTCTGTTTTGTTTATCCTTAATCCCTCTTACACATGAACTGAACAACAGTAGCTATGGTTACAAAATAAATAAGAAAATATTCAATCACCTATTCTACATGGATGATCTCAAACACTTTGCCAAAGACGATAATGAGTTGAAAGGCCTCCACAATATTGTAAAATACTTCAGTGACGATATAGGTATGAACTTCGGATTAGATAAATGTGCAAAAGTAACTTTCAAGAAAGTTAGAATTACAGAAACACCCTTAATAGATTTAGATTTTGTCACAAAGATTAGGGAACTGGAGCATGATGAAGCTTATAAGTACCTAGGAATTAGCGAAGGAGATGGCATACAACACCCCCAAATGAAGGAAAAAATAAGAAAAGAGTACTACAGGCGTGTACGTCTGGTACTAAATACTGAGCTAAACTCAAAAAACAGGATATCAGCCATAAACACATTGGCTGTCCCTGTGGTGCAATACAGCTTTAATGTCCTTAACTGGACCATAGCTGAAATTAAGCGAATGGATGCCAAAACGAGAAAGCTTCTCAATTGCTATCGCATGCATCATCCCAAAGCTGATGTCGATCGTCTGTATGTGCCCAGATCCGAAGGAGGCAGAGGATTTGTTCAAATAGAACTGTCCTACAAAACTACAACAATTGGCCTCCAAAGATACTTGGAAACTACAGAAGACTGGATGATGGTATGCGTCAAGGAACATGAAAGTAGTAAGCGTCTTTACTCCGTAATGAAAGAAGCCAACAAATTCAAAATGGAGTTTCAAATGGGCGTAGAGATGCAACTACAGCAGAATACACCGGCTGAAACTGCAAAATACCTAAAAAAAGACAGCAAGGACGAATGCAACCGACCAGATACAGAAGCGATGGCAAGATAAACCGCTTCATGGCCAATACTCTGCCCGTACCAAACAAGCTGATGTAGACAAAACCCGTACTCATCAGTGGCTACGTAGTGCAGGGTTGAAAGCGGAAACTGAAGGTTTTATCCTTGCTGCGCAGGACCAATGCTTGCTAACTAGGAATTATCAAGCACATATACTAAAATATTGTGTCGGCCCAAAATGCAGATTCTGTGATAAATATCCAGA